AGAGCTCCATCACCTGACCTCAAAATTTTCGACATGTCCATACTCTCCTTATATAGGTACTCTAATCTGAATTCGTGAAATTTTTTAGGCGCTATGATGGCCCATCCCCCCTCCCCCCAATTTTTAGGTGCCAAGGCCCGATTTTTAGGCGCATTTGGCGCATGTCGCCGGGGAAGGAAGAACACTGAACAAGTCCATACTCCCCTTATATGGACACTCCACCGTTCTCCAATCGTAAACGAAGTATAATCGAAAGAGGAGCGTGTAGGGACGCGGAAAAATTGGCGGAGATCTCACCTGCGAAGGGGCGGAAGCGGAAGCGCGGAAGCTGTAAATTCACGTCACTGGGGCTAAGCCACCGCCGCGGCGGTAACAAATTGACGCGGCGGCAAGAAATTGGATCCAGAAGTTTTTGATGGAGCGAATTGAGATGCAATCTGAGAAATTCAATTATTCGACTCAGCTGAGCTCTGAATTCCAACCGGGCCTCGGTGTGGCTCCGGATTTTCCAATAAGGGCCTCGTCGACGCCCCCGGGGCCGCCGGTGCGAATTAACCCGGGCGCCGCACAGTGGGACCAGAGGCCCGACTTGAATTTTTTTACCAAAACTAAATTATTCCGTCACATTATGAATATCAAGGGGTGCCATTTTTGGGAAATTTTACTTGAAAACCAATTGAGTCACTTCTGAGCCTCTACGTTCTATAATAACGAAGATATGAGCGTTTTAAAGTTTCCTTTATCATGTCCCCTTGCTCCATGGCTTGTTTTACTGTGCGGCGGGCACCCGACACCGACATTCGCACCCCGTCGGATTCGAGGGGAAATCATCGGGAAATGAACCTGCCACCGACTGGGCTGTCAACTCTCTTCCGTATGTTCGAGTGTGGTCGCATATCTCCAGGATTCCCGCACGAACCCCGCGCTGATATATACGACTGTTTACCCACAAAAGAGCCTAAGGGTCGCATTATTAGCCGTTCCTGAACCAGCTCATTTCCGTAGATCTCATGTGGGTTTCATTATGACTTAGTGAGGTTTGAGGAGGCCTTTATCATGGCGTTATAATAAGGACATTGTTCAAAACCTGGAGTAAAATTATAGACTTTGATTATAGACATAGATGTTTAGAAGGGGTCAAAATGATTGATCACCAAAAATATACGGAATCCGAGGAGAAAAATGATCTTTAAATAATTTACGGCAGGTCAGGACCAACCAATTTTGCAATTTTTGTAGTGACAAATCATTTGAATCTCCTGTATGAGCGTTGCGGTGGGAAAGTTTCAGAAATTTTGAACTGAATTTTGATACCACAAATTTGAAGAAGAATCATAGTTGAAAAGGTCACTTTCATTTCAAGTCAATTTATTTAAAATACGACAAGCCTTCTGCACCAATTTTTCAAACAAGGAGAATTGGACTGCATTTTGCAATTTGGAGCTGTAAATTCTGGCTCTTCTGAGAAAACACTAATGTGCATAAGGAAACTAACTGCACGTACGTTGTTTTTAACCCTTGCCGGATTTTATAGTTCCTGATTGTAAAATGTAGCTCAATTGATCCTGTCTGTGGTATCTTCAAAATTGATCGTCTCGCACGAAATTCATCCAGATTCATTAATTTTTCCAGTTTTGAGTTTTTTTTCCTCAGTGGCTCATAATTCTCCTTCAGATTGAATGGGACTATGAAAGAGTGATGGACTAACGTTGGAATTAAGGTGACCTTTGATTAAGCCTTTATGTCACTTTCACGGTTGTATTAACCATAGGTAATGGTATAAACCAAGAATAAAAGTCCCTTTAGACTGGAGCCGAGAGGATCAATCGCGAGAACCAGTGGTGTGGCGTGCTTTTCGATACATCGATTGTTATGCCGTTTAAACTATGGAAAAGGATCGATAAACAGGGTGTTCTCAGTGAACACCTTAATAATCGATTCTTTACCATAGGTTTAAATGGCAAAACAATCGATACATCGTAATTCACGCCACGCCACTGATGAGGGGGTTCCTACCGTGAGTTTTTCAGAATTCTTGAATAGCGAATTTTTTTTTGCGCTATAGGAACGAACTGAGCTAGATTTCGTATGCCTAAGAGAAAAGGATTTCCATTAAAGAATCCGCAGAAATATTTATTTTCAAAATGAAAGGTCTCCGTAATAAATCGCCCTTTCCACTGGAGTTTATAAAGCATATTGAGAATGAATCCGGCCAAAAAGGGGAGCAAAAGGGTAAGGTGAAGGGATGGGAAGGTGGGTCGGAAGGTGAGAGAGGGCGGCTGGGAAAGAAAAAGAGGAAATAATTTATTTTTAAGAGGTGCCTCAAGATTTTGATAAGAAAAAAGAGAGTGAGAAATGAAGAGCATCTCAGCTGAGGCATGCGTTTAAAAGAGGAGATAAAGAGGGCGAGGAAATGTGATTATTCCCAATAATAATTAAGGGCACCTGGTCGCCTTATTTATTACTGCTCTCGCCGATTTTTTTTTCGCCTTTTTTCCCTTTGCGTTCCACTTCTGCTCCAGGCTACACAGTGCAACGTTCTAGTAAAAGAGGTGTAGCTTACAATAAACCCACCGTTTTGTTTATAAAAACCGAAGAAGAAAAATAAGAATGATCATTTCCACTTCTAAAGTGTTGAAAAATTAAACTGTATTTGAGGGGCTTGGCGGACAAGGCGCATAAGTGCAGTTTTTACTATTTCGAGAGACACGTGTTTGAACTTTCGAAATTACATGGATCCTTACGGCGAAAACAAAGTTCAGATTAGCTTTTTGATGTTTAAAAATTGGAATTTGGGAGCGAATTTTTCACAAAGTATATTTTAAGATTAGTTTCAGTTAAAATCATTAATATCTCAATTTTTTCAAAAACTGCTCTTACGTGCCATACAGTATGAGAGAGAGTCTGCAAAGTTACAAACGGAGATTCGTGGTTTCGGACTTTGACCATAGATAGATAGGCTAACTCTGCTTAAATTTGTCCTCAATTTGTTGTTATAAAAAATGACAAATAGCCGTTAAAAATGCAACAAAATGTGCCGCAGAAACAGCTTTGTAAAAATGCAAACCTCCGAAATTTGCCTGCGATAAATTTGATAATTCCAAATGACAGAACTGTATGCTCCTACTATTCAGACATACAATCCTCGAAAACTTAGCATAATGTTCGAAAAGAAGAAAACTGTCTGCACATTTCTTGGAGGCTTTTATTGAATACATTGTTTTTAAATGAATGTGAGGGACATGGGCTTTTGCGAGAAACATGCACGAAATTCAAAAGTTATGAGAGCGTCCTTTCCGCGACTGATAGCTCAATTTATTTCTTCGAAATATGTGAAAATTAAGATGAAGTTTTCCTCGAATTGTTTAATTTAGATTAATTTTAACTTCGCTCCCGAATGAGCCCTGGATCACTCTGTCAGTGTCAGATATCGGCATTATAACGTGTCAGGAACACGAGTATTGATCCTTAACATAATTACTTTCAACCTCTCCTGCAGATACTCTTCACGTTACCCAACACAGGAGAGTTATTTAATTATAGGCTGAGATTTTCGTGCAAAACTGGACGCAGTTCGTAGAAAGGTCGAACGCATGGTTTCTCAACGACATGACAGGGAAACGACTTTTAATGGGAGTTCCTTTTATTATATTGGAGACGATTTTGGTTTTATTCAGACTGTGTGAAAGCTCGTGAGTTTCTTAATTGAAAAATAATACCGAATCTTCAAGAAGTACAAGAAGACCTATAAAACTTCAAAAAATACTTAAGGAAGGTCCGTCACAAACGTACATATAGGCTTTTTCTTGCAATAAGAAAAGCGCTTACTAAATGCAGGTAAAAGGCGATATCAGGAATGTGATGAGTAAAATTAGTGATACGCTGTTGGAACATATTGAAATCGCCTTCATTTTTATGCGTGATACTTAACCTCTACTTTAGAGATCAACTCGTTATTGTATTTCAAATTGGAAGCGGACCGAGACCAAAAATGCATTCTTCGTTAATAATAGACGTAAGGGGTCACAAATACTTGGAATTCATCTCTTTCGAAAACTGTGGACTCAAGTATCGTTCATTATCTTTCAATTTTCAACAACATCAAAAATTCGCACAATTAAAGTACATCAATAGTCCAGGCGCCTGGTAAGTCTACCTGGAATTTTGGGTACACAGCGATTTTTTTGGCCTACTTTATGTTTTTTGGGTCGCTGAATCCGAATCTGAAGTTTCCGCACGCGTATCTGGTGAGCATTTTCCGCTATCTTGAAAAAATGGCCTAAAAAGGCCTTTTTTTTCGGTTTTTTTGATATAGCGGCTACGGATGAGGAAAAGTCCCGGATTTAGCTAATGTTTTGAATAGCTGACATAATTTGGAAGAAAATGGTGTATACATATGTTAGGTTTGCTTAAAAATTGAGGAAGATACAGCATCGTGAACATCGCGCCTATTCACGTTTTCGCGGCGCACCCGTCAACGCGCGATCCGGCTCGCCGAGGTCAGCCAAGTTCCGAAGCGTTCTAAAGTTCCGAAATCCGAGGTTCCTCAATTTTTGAGCAAACCTAGCATATTCATATACCATTTTCTTCCAAATTTTGTCAGCTATTCAAAACATTAGCTAAATCCGGGACTTTTTCTCATCCGTAGCCGCTATATAAAAAAAACCGCAAAAAAAGGCCTTTTTAGGCCATTTTTTCAAAATAGCGGAAAATGCTCACCAGATACGCGTGCGGAAACTTCAGATTCGGATTCAGCGACCCAAAAAACATAAAGTAAGCCAAAAAAATCGCTGTGTACCCAAAATTCCAGGTAGCCTCATTTTTAGCTACCAGGCGCCTGGACTACAAGAGATAATGGACAATGGACACTGAGAGTTAAAATTGGCTTGCTTGAATGGGCGTGCGTGAAATTTTCATTCCTTCTGAAAAATTACGATTCCTCCAAAATCGTATACCTTTTTAGAATATGATTAAGGTAAATGAAGAATTAAAAGAACATGTTGTGGGTGTTTGAATTTTTATTACAACTATACAAATATTACAAAATTTTGTTCAACTATTATTTTCCAATTACAAATTCAAATACTGTAAAAAGATACGTTAAAGTGTGTTTTAAATTTTATTTACAGCCGGTATCTTGATGGTAAATTCTAAATGGTCTTCAAGTTTGAAATTTGATCCGTTCTGTCAGTAAATCATTATTCTTTTAAAGGCAGAATAAGTTTTGAAAATATTAGCGCGAAGGAATTTTAAGGAAAAATGAGGATTCGGTAATCAACAAGATCGATCGATCGAGCGATCAATCGATCAATCAATAAATTGATCAATCCATCCGTTGATCGATCGATCAATAAATCTATAAATCAACCAATAAATCAATATCAATACCTCTGAAAATATATATTAGATTCTGTCTAGACCAAAAAAAATGTTCCTCCTGAGATGAACAACCTTTAAGAAGTCTTAAAAGTTGCAGTGAAATACCGGTATTTTAGTTTCCTTGTCATGTTTGTTTGACATGTTGAAATATAAATAAATTGAACATCAGTGCAAGTTCTACAAAACGATCTTTCAAGAGGAAAGAAAATGTCCGCACATGATGATGATGAATACAAGAATCACATACTCTAATTGGTGACAGCAGTTACCAATCCAACGATCGGAGCATTCCTGAGTTCAAAACATTTTCTTTAAAATAATGAACGATTTAACTTCTTTATTCCTGAGTCCTCATAGTTCGTTGTGCCGGTATGCGCCAGCAGCCTCCTCTTCTTCGTGAAATCCTTTACAATCAACCGGGAATTTTTTCTGAAAGAAAATGTCATATCCTTTTAGCACAAGTAATTCTCATCTTATCAAGGTGATTATTTGTGAAATATTTGGTTTAATTTCTGCCAAAATTATATTTTTTTCATGTCTAGCAAAATATTTTCCATAACTAATGACGTGGCCCAACAGACATGCTTCGATGTTCCATTTTTAAATCATGCGTCACCCTACTAAATCTTGCCATTAGGCACTTGTTTTAAAATACAATAAAGAGCTATAAGAAAGAGGCTAAGGCAAATAAGATGCACATTTCTTTAAAAATTGGGTTATTGGCGTTTTTAGATCTTCAATGATGATTTCACGCGTGTGTAACCTTACTTTCGCGCCGATTTTGATTTATTGTGGAATTTCAAAAATTCCACTTTAATTTTTAATTCAAGTCAACGAGCCCAACGAGCGGTTTCTCCCCGATATGTCTGAAAGGCTGCAATATAATAGGACACTTTTTTTGCTTTCACTGAAATGATTGATACTTACCTCGCACACGTAGTTTTCAGTTGCGGCGTAGTAGAATTTCCAAAAAGGCGTACCCGTCCTTCTGGATAGGAACCATGATGCGACCAAACTGAAAATCAGAGGAATTTGTGTCAATTTAGTAAATCATACGGTCAACATACTTTATCAATCAGTGATACACATCGTCGCTCCTCTAACGTGAGGGCGTATCGTTATTTCCACATGAACCACGGAAAATATAGAGTTATACTATACGAAGAACAGGGCTCAAGTGAATATCAAGTTACACTCTATCCGTACGTCAAAGAAGCGACGATTGCACGGGTTCCTCCAGTGTCCCTCTTTTCCAAGTCTTTCTTATCAACATGTCAGATTATATTTGACCCCCCTTCCATTCTCTCCCCTTCTTTCTTCTCTAAGTACCTTTTACGTACCCTTAACTACCCCGTTCCCATTTTTGCCTTGGCAAGTAATAGACGGTCTTTTAGGCCAGTTAATTAAGTATAAGCTCGCCTTCGCGAATAGGAGGTCTGCAAGCATTGTTTCCGAGAAACTCCAAAAATATCGAGAACAAAAGGGGTTTGCGACCAAGCGAAAAGAAAAGACAATCACGAAAGCCCTTAGAGATGGTTACGCATGGCTGAGGAATAAAATTTAACGAGGAATCGATAAAGTTGTGATGGATCGTGTCCACGGACCAACATCGGCACGCTGAAATCACTCTCCCGTCCAAGCGGCGCACAGTAGATCGAGTTAATGAGAGAGGTTGGACATAAATGTACAAACTTTGAGGGCTTATATCATCGTTGATACACAATGTGGGGATTTGAGAGTGATTCCATTGGTTTCCCTCGTAAAATTTCTTATTAGAAGCATCCATTAAAATGTAAACTGTAAAGAAATGAACATCAAATACAGTTATGTTGAAAATTTCATGTTCGACCTCTCCCTAAGGCCCGTTTCACTGTGCGTCGAGGGAAGTTTCATCCCCAAAGAAAACCGAACGAAATAAATATAAAGTCAAACCCTCATTATTATCATCTATTCCTTATTGTTGTTTTATTGGCTCGTCATGATTTGTCATGATCTTCTCTAATCTCTCTCCAAGATTATCATAATCATAAAATTTATACTGCTTTATACAATGAACATTTTCATCCCCCCACAATAACGGCCCCCTACTTAATAAGTAACAGCTCTACTTAAAATCAGTCAGAGAAGGAGCGAATTAAACCTTCTTAAAAAAATTCTCAGCAATAATTTGAGATATTATCACGAATACATCAATGAACTTGGTGTGGAATTGTGAAACTAGGGTGACTCGTCTATTGTATCAAATTATGTCGTTGCCATGATGTACTTAATGATGAAGCTTTAATATACGCTATTCTTTTACATTGAAGGTCGGAGGAAATTTTCCCTGAAGGAGGGTAGGGTAGATATCAATGTGGGCCATTTTTGAGCCCACCCTAAATTTACAATTTTTTGCTCGTTAAAAGGTCTGTACTTTACGGGATGCATCGAACTTTGGTCATTTCCAATCTCTTTTTGGGTCTGAGACTGGCCTCAACATGGGTCTGAGGGCCGAATTTGGCAAAAAATGCAGATTTTTCGGCATTCAGGCGCTCGTGTGTAGACCAGTGTTAGGTCCGGATAAAAATTGAGTATGACCAGATCATAATGTATTCCGTAAAACATGTAGAACTCTAATGAGAAGAATCGTAAATTCAGAAGAACTCTCAGGATGGGTCCAAAAACGGCCCGTATTCGGACCTCTCTTTTGACTCTCTTGAAAAATTATCTCCTGGATAAGGGCTTTTTTCAAAGATCCGGTCGTACATAAACTCTTTTCATCTGAGGGTTTTCACTACACTCGGATGCTCATCAGTGGCATGACGTGTTTGCGATTGCCCTTTAACTTATGGAGAAGGATCGATAAATAGGGTGTTGGCAACAAACACCTTGATAATCGATTCTACACCACGGTTCCAAAGGGGGAACTATCGATAATGGATCATTCACGACTTGCCACTGGTGCTCATGGGGTGCGGCTGATTGGGTGGTGTGGTGACGGTGAGTGGGTGGTGACGGTGAGTTCTCACCTGGTGAGCTTCTTGATGCCGGGTTTGAGTCCAGTGCGGGCATTGTCTGCGGGCATGATTTGGCTGACGGTGCAGATCAAGTAACGGTCGCAACGAGGGTGCTTGATGGAGTATCGGTAGGCCCTCCAAACTCGGAGCAGTGGCTCGATAACTTCCTCGTTCAGCGACTCGGCCAGCTTCCTCTCGATGTCCTTGCTGCTTAGGCTCGACACGCTCATCCCCTTCCTCTCACCTAACCGCAACAAGTCCTGCCAACAAATTAACCCTTCACTGGTGCCTTCAATTTCAACGAGAGGCAAAATAGGTTACAATATATATTTCAGAGACCCTAGAGTATGTATAAACGGGAGCGTATTGCCATATTTGTACCGCTCTTTGATTGGTGCATCAGTTTTAGGCTATCGTGGAGCTCCAAAGTTGGCCCAATCTAAACAAACCCCACCCAGAGGAACACGCATTATTGGCTGAGAAATTACTGATAATCACACTCAAAGCAAGGTTAATATTCGGTATAAATATCCATCAAAGTTCGATCCGAACAATTCAGAGGTTAGGATATAAAAAAATTTCCATCACATTCAAAATCATATCTAGAAATTTGTAGAGCTTTTTCGCTATCTTGTTTGTTTACATTGAGCCAAACTAGGAGAGGAGGGGCTGGGGTTTGTTTACATTTGGCCAACTTTAGGGCTCCATGATAGCCGACCAATCATATCCCTGTTCATATCAAACGTAGAAACTTGATGTTTAGACAACTCTTACTATTTTTAGCCAAACTGCAAGAATCAAGCTTCAAAACACGATTCTGTGACCAGCGCAAATGACCAGCTTTACGAAAAATGGTAACAGTATATCGCTTGATAGATGGTGATAGACGGTGGCTTGATAGATAAAAATGGTGACTTTCTGTCTATTTTTGTGTCTTTGAGTACGGGTTGCATACTCTAGCCCCTGAAAAATGTGAAATATTTCACAGCCTCGTAAAATTTCATGAAATATTTCACTGAAATTTCCAATCCTTCATTTCTTTCTTACGTTCCACGCCACCCTGTCGCGCGCGGATTGATTTTTCGCGCGATGAAACATTTCGCGAGCTGCGGCGGAGCCGAAGAGAAAAACAACTTTCATCGCTTTCATCAATCAAACACTCGCAGCATCATCTGTCTGCCGCGTATCCCGTATCCCGTGTCCCAGCGTGTGGCACGCCGGGGATTCGCCAAGAGTGCTCCGCTCCTAAATTTTCCCGTGGAAATCCCGGTTTCCACGGGGAAACTTCGGAATTGCCGCACGAATGAGCAACGCTGAAGGAGCATGCGAGTAATTTTGATTTATATCGGGAGCGCTGCATCAAAGTTCGCTCTCGTCGGCAATTAGGTGAATTCGGGAATCGATCGGGCGAGTTGTTAGTCCTACACTTCCCTTACGTCGGAAAAAAGGGAATTCTCTCGCGGTTCGGCTGAACGTTCCTTGAAAAAAGCGGGAGATCAAATTGAGAATGGGATCATTTCCATTCAACTGATAAAGGTTGCTAGATTTGATTAACTTTTAATTAAAATCATATGTCGTTTCCGAAATTTTTTTTTCTTTGTAACAATCATCGTTCCGACCTCCCCCCCTCCCCCCAATCCTCGAAAGAACGCAACGAAAGTTCGATTTTGCCGGGTTTCCGCTTGTAAAGTGCATTTTTACCAGGAGACTCTTCGGCATTTCTAACTGAAAATTTCACTGATATTTCCTCAGATTTCATGCAATAGTCGGACGAATTTTGGATAAAAATTGCGCGAGTGCATTGTTGTAAAATAAATTAATTGTTTTGCCCAATTTGACAACCGTGTGATGGAGTTACGTTCTTTCGTCGGGTAGACGACGTGATGTCATCGCACACGGAGCACGGACGAGGAGACCTGGTTGTCACCGGGTTGCAAAACAGTGGAGCGATTTTCGTACCATTGGGCCGAAAAGTCAAACTGAGCCAAATGCGGAAAATGCGTAACTCTATTGCAACCTTTAAAAGTATCCGATTATGTCTTATTCTGTAAGGAACGTACTAATCAATTCTTTTTCCAACATTGTTATTGGATTAAGTGGTACAAATTCACAGAAAATTTCGATAAAAATTTTGGGTGATTCTCTTTAAATGAAACTAGGAGGTCCGCCCCCTCGCCGCTACGCAACCCAACCCCCGGGACGCTGTGCACCCCCAAAGATAGCTTCTCACCCTCGTTACTCCCCTTCCTCACCCCGTCCATCGAACGTCTGAAAAATGATCTTATTAGAATAGAGAGGATAAAACATGAATGGACATTCATAAAGTTGCAATCTGAGATGCGCGTTTTCCGACCTTCAGCAACCTAAATGCAATAATATTATGTGTCTTTCTTTAAAAAAAAAAAATAAAAATAAAAAAGCGTCATAGAAAATCTGCAAAGTTACAAACCGATTTACGTGGTTTGGAGGGCTCACCACCTACATGAATTCGTTGCCTATCTGCCATAAGGGCGTAACTACACTCTGTAATGAACCCTGTCCTCCATACAATTCAATGCTCTTCCAGGCTCATCTCAATGAGTAGTTACGCCCTTTTGTCACCCAAGCGATGAATAACCCCACCCGTTTTACCCCGCTTGGATATTCGTGCGGGGTCCTCAAGAAATTCCGTCATCTATGTGCGCATTTTTCCAGGGGAAGTAAAGCCGAGATTTCCAAAACAGGAGGATGGGAGACGGAGACGGTGACACCTTGAAACAAATCTCGAGCTTTCCAGGTGACATGGAAGTCAAATCGTGGTAGAAATATTTTCCCGAACTCTGCCGTGCTTAGGAAGAACGCCGTATGAACATTCGAGAGTTGCCAAATTTCCCTTGTAACATGTATTTTTGACGAAATTCACACATATTTTACCTTCAAATTTTCAAATATTTTAGATTCAATTGCGTACAAAATTGTCTGAAAATTTCGGAAAAAAATATTCACAATTTATTTGGTAAATTCGGTTTTTATCGAATTAAATTTGGCAACGTTTGAAGGCGCATACGGCGTTCTCGGCGGTGACCTTAGCTTTTCTCGAAACATATTGTGGACCCAGCACTATTTCACCGCACCTTGTTACATACAGTTCTGGTCACATTTATTGATTTCTCACTCCCCTCGCGGGTAGAGGAAGTATTGCAATCGTCCGGGGAAAGTTTGGTGGGAAAATATTCAGAATTTGCGTTTAAAAACATTTTTATTTGAGGAAATTCGGTAAAACTCGGGTGCTTATACTCACAGCTTTCCTCTTCAGCCGGCAGCATACAACTTCAGGCATAAGGAAAATCATTCGAATTTAATAGCGATATCCGACAACGGTGACGAGTGTATTGACTCCGTCAGTCGGGCCCATGACGAGAGAATTAGGACCGGGCGGCAGCTGCATTTGAATAGAAAAGCACTCCCGTCCCAGTTTTCCGTTTGGGGCTGGGCGCGATGCTGCCCTCTTGCGTTAAAACCACTTGACTGTAATGAAGGATACTATCTAGATATGATGTTTATGCTTATGACGCACGGTTAGAGTCACAGGACGGCCATCAAGTCCGTCAAAGGGAGTCATTGTTTCCTCGGATGGATCTCGCGTCGGCGCACAGTGGATCGAGTCAATAGGAGAGGTCGGACAAAATGTGGGTACTTAAAACGCTTTTAACTCCTTTTATACTAAACTTTGAGGTTCTAAAAGTGGTATCATTGGTTTCCGCTTAAAGTTTTCTTCTGAAAGCACCCATTGAAATTTAAAATGTGACGAAATAAACATCAAAATTTGCAGTTTTTGTCAGAAGTTTCATGTCCAACCTCTTTAATTGACTCGATTCACTGTGCGGCGTGGTTCATGTCTGTAAAAAGCCGTGAATTAAACTAAAACTTAATTTAAACTAACCTCTGCGTAAGCAACGGCCGGTTTGATGTATCTTCCGGAGTTGATTTGTAGGCCGAAGTGTCGTTTAAAGATGGCGTTGAGTAGAATACTCAGAGAAGCTGCAGGTCGATTCGGGTCAAAAAGGGCCGCCTTGGAATAGCCTTGAGACTGCAAGAAACTGTTCCCGATGAACTGGGCAGTGTTCATGTACCTAAGAGACATAAATAATGTTGTTACTTTTTTAAAATTGCCTTTGAAAATTCTGTTTTAAAAACGTAATGTGGTTGTATTTAACAAAGATTTACGTATACAAACTGCAGAAATAGTTAGTTAGTTAGTTATTTTATTTATAGACATTCAGCCTCCTAGGCTATTAACGTCTTTACAATGAATTTTGGAAGATGGGGGTACAGACAAAAATTTAGATTTTTAAATTAAGGGAGGCAAAGAGTTTCAGAAGTTTGGTTGTGACATTGGGTTCATCGCATGTTAGTGGGTTTGTATTCCTTTTCCTATTACGGTTTATGAGGTTGACACATGTGTTACTTTAAAAAGGGCCATTCCTCGGAATTATAATGTACTCATTACGATTAACAAATATGGTGGGCTGCTCTTGAACTCAGCATTTACAATGTCTCTTAATACTCCTATTACCAGAAAACGATTTTCATACAATTATTTATCTGCTCTCTGCGTTGTTTTTGTGTCTCTTGCAATTTTTTTTGCTCAGGAATGGCCTTTTTTCGGGAAAAAATTATTCAATTCTGATAAGAATTTTAACTGAGAATTTATTTATTAAGTATCAATGTTCACCATGAATGAAGCACTTTAAACAAGCAACGGGTGTAACACTGTAACTGGGTGAGAGCGAAGTTTCGGAAAATATGCAACAAATATTATTGCATATTCGAGCTCATAATCCCCACTCGATGTGCTGTTCAAACAGATTGATGTCGACCTCTCAAAAAGATTAAACGCAAAAATACGTGGCGTGGCCGACTTTCTCTATTGACCACCTGACCGGACGTGAAATATTTAATGCTTTCGAATTGAACATTGACAGAACATCCATGAGTGCGCCTGTTTTGAATTAATTTTCCTCTCATAACATCGTTTCATTTCGGTGTATATGAGCTGAATCAAAACAACTCCTCTCTTTTACCTATTCATACACTGCGAGTCCGAATGAATTGCTCTCCGCGCAAAACGAGGAAATTCATTACGCGTCTATGTTTTGAGGGGAATTGGTTTTCTCGTGACTCCACTGATATAGGAATCTGTAGTGTCAAAAAAAGCTACTCAGTTATTATTAAATTGAAATGTTTTTTGCGTAAACTCGTCTCACCAATATCAGTTTTATACCTCGCAAGAAGGCGACAAAACTGCATGCAACGTGTATTTCGCTACAGTGAGTTTTTGATGGAAGTTAAGACAACTTTTATCGTATTAAAGGGAGTAATGTAATTGATATTATCCATCTAGACGCATGAAATCATATTTCATACCCCAGGGATTGTTACAGTAATGTTTACTTTGCGATTTAACTAAAAAAACTTATAGTTTTTTTATGAGCAGGAAGTTTGAATTTATGCATCGAAAAACAGTGAAATCTTGGTAAAAAAAGGTTTTTCATTAATTTTTGTTGCAAAACTCGTGTTCCTCGTGAAATTTTGGGGAGAAAATATGTACCAAAATGCTTAAATTCGCACCTTGTCATATGAGCTATTGCTATTGCATTTTCGATTATTTTGCATCCAGTGCAATGCTTTGAGCTTACTCTGACCGGTTCGCCTTCAAAAACTTGATAGGCAATGTAAGCGGTTTGGAAGCAGTAATAGTTGCCTGCACTAGATTGAGCACATAAAGCGGTCGATGTTACAACCTGAGAGGAGCACTTCCTGATGAGCTCTTAGATCCATATATCCCCAACATTTTTGCGATTATTGCATAAGATCAAAAGAATAATCAGTGAAACTTTCAGCTATACGAATTCTCAAGATTTTCCCGGTGAAAATTCAATTCGCGGGAGACAACAAGCGAATTTCATTTAAAGTTCCGAACCTCTCTGGGAAGTTATGCCCCGGTTTGTCTCATCAATCACAAACACCAGTGGACACCGTTGTTACCAAATTCGACCAATCAGATCCTTTGGTCTTCAATAGGTCGAATCTTTTATAGGATCACCTCGCGAGGTGGTACCAAAATCACGCACCAACGTTGCGATTCGTCAGTCACCGACATGAAGGCTATTTCCACTTAAATCTTCCGTCACATTCATACGGCGCAATGATACAACTATTTGAACTCTCCGGAATGCGAGAGGTATCACGCCGCATTTGAAGGCGTTTTCAAAACAGCCAAGTTCCGTTATCGGAATAATCGTTTTGCATAGTTCATATTATTTTGTTTCCATTTCTAACCACTTGTTTAATTATAATCCTCGTAGAAAAACCACCCATCAGTAAATACAATTCTAGCTGGAGCGCACTTCAGCTATGCATTCACCACTGCAAAAATGTCAAAGGAAATCGACACGCCCAGCGTGCATGGAGGCTATTTCCATTTAAATCTTCCGTCGCATTTCTAAGGCGCAATGATACAACTATTTGAACTCTCCGGAATGCGTGAGGTATCACGGCGCATTTGAAGGCGTTTTAAAACAGCCAAGTTCCGTTATCGGAATAATCGTTTCGCATAGTTCATATTATTTTGTTATATTCCGTCCCACTTGTTTATTTTTAATCCTCCTATAAAAATTACCCATTCGCTATCTACAATTCTAGCTGGAGCGCACTTCAGCTATGCATTCATCACTGCAAAAATGTCAAAGGAAATCGACAAGCCCAGCGTGCATGAAGGTGACCGAATCAGAGGTTCCGAACTCAGATAGAATGGCAGCTCGGAGTAGAGTCCCTTTCTACCCAGAGTTAAGACATCTCGATTATCAGCTGGCCTGGGCTGGCCATGGTGTCACAGAAGTGTGCACCCAAACGAATGATATTGAGGGATAAGGATAAGGAATCCTGTTATGTCCGTCATCCAAAAACAAAAACATCAACAAAACTAATCAAAACCTAACCAAAGAAATCGCAATAAAATAAAATTAGATTGATTTGTGGATAATTTCTTAATCTATTTTCATTTTGGTGCGATGAAAATAATTATTCACTCTTGATAAATCGCAATTTGGATATATTTTCATTATTTCTGTTCACATTCGAGCCACCGCCATCTTGGTGCACTCTTTTGTGACTCCATGAGCCAATCAGCTCTTTGAGCTCTTTTGTGACCATTCAGAATTGGATTTATTTTTAAGGCTACTTTCACCCCAAACAAGCCCGACCAGAATTGAGATGTCGTGACCCTGGGTATAAAGGGACTCTAGCTCGGAGGTTCGGACACTAAAGTAGTACCGAACCTCTAAATAAAATTCTCTTAACATTGAAAAGTAGCTAAGTTCTTTCTTGCGAAGGACGACGAAGTGTGCCCCGCGGCGGGAAAATTTCTTACCGTCTCATTGTTGCTGGGTGAGCCAAGTGCTTGATCCACTCGGCGGCGAAGCTCGTGAGGCTGCTGATCCAGCGCCTGCGGAAGGTGTGATCCTCCATGGAGTCGAAAATCCGGTCGATCTGAAAATATCCATCCTTGTCGACGAACGTCCTCAAGAGGCTCCCCAAGTGGGAGCTGCTCCAGAGCGCCTCCCCGAGTTCGGACGACTTGAAGTGCTCCCAGTAGGCCTTGAAGGCCTCCAAATACGGCGGCCAGAACGGCGCGTGCTCGAACTCGTGGTGCTCCTCCTCGTCTTCCAGCTCTTTGTCCTCGTAGTGGAGGTGCCCGCCGGTCAAGGAGCTCACTAACACGGGTAGGTAGTCGAGCATGCTGTCCACGCTGAAAGTGAGAACGCGGTCAGAAACACAATTTCCAGAAAATCCTACTTTACAAATCTACAATTTTATGAGCAAGAGAAAATACCAAAATATGTGGCCCGAACTGTATTTGACATGGTGATGAAATAGTGCTGGCTCAACACCCTAGCCTCATACTGCCGTGCTCAGGAAAACGCCGTAAGAATATTCGAGAGTTCCAAAATTTCCTTCGATAAAATGTTTATCTTTTTAGGAAAGCTATGGATATTTTCCCTTGGTATTATTAAGGAACTTTAGGTGAAATTGCGAATAAAATTAGTTGAAAAATTGGAAGAAAAATATTCACAAATTCTCCCAAAAATTCGTGATTTACTAAAGCAAATTTGGCAGCGCTTGGAGGCTCATACGACGTTTTTCCTTTGCAAGGCAGCATAGTGCTTAAGAAGCGCATATAGTGCTACTTCCGTTGTGAAATCTCCCCCACACGCATACTTGCCATTCTAGACACGGCTTGTCTAAACACATCTCTTATCACCCTCTAACATGTGTTTCTTAAATTTGGATAACATTTGGCAAGAATTCGTTTTAACAGTGAAATTTTTTATTTTTCGGGTGCTAGGAGACTTAATTAATTTAAATATTGCTATAAAAATACCTACTAAGTAGTAGAATGAGAAAAATAAATAAATAAATTGCAAAATTTGATAACAATTTAATACAATTTTTATCATAATTGACTTGTGGCTATACCCCTCCATAAAGTTTCTAAAAATTGTAACAGGTTAAAATTTGTCTTTCCAACCGCCCCGAGAGAATTAAAGGAAACGAAATCGTGTCAAAATCCTAGCTCCTGGCACAAACGTAGGGCTATCAATTTCAGAATAATTTGCAAGGCTAATTTGCAGAATTGCAGAAAAGCAGTGCCGTGGGGGAAGGGCTCAAAGAGTCTGGACCTCCCCTCCCCCTTCCATGGCTGGATAACTCCCCAAATTTCATTTATATGGTCACTCTCAGGAATCCTTTACAAATGGACCCCTTGTATCCCCTTTTAAAAATTTCTTGCCGCGCAACCCTCCCCCCATGAAAAATATCTGGCTACGCAACTAGAGTAGGGGGTAGTTAAAATCAACGAAAATTCCATGGGCAAAGGAAGGACCGGAATCTCACCTAAAGGCGTCCTTGCCAGTGATGTAGTTGCTAAGGGCGCCGACCGCAGCGCTCCAGTCGTCGGCGGGTTTTTGCGCCCCCCGCGAGAGTGCGCCACCCACGCCGACGTTGGCCACGATCTTGCCGAGGTTCGACACGAATTCGGGGTTCTCCAGGAGGCCCCCCGTGTTCCCGAGACTCGCCCCGAACGATCCGAGCACAACGAACACTATTCCGAACATAACGCGAGCGGCTTAGCCTTACGACTGGGCAAGGGTCAAGCGGGATCCCGATGGTATGAAAATGAGCGTGCGGCAAGGAGCCGGTCATTGTCTAGACTGATCGAAGAAGAAGAAACACGCGGCGAATCTGGTGAAAGACGGCCGGTCGCACTGTGGGTCGCTTTCGGGACTTTCCGATGCCCGGCTAAGGATTAATGTCACGGACATCGGTGCCATATTTCTGGGAAGTGTGATTCAGTGCGCAGTCTATTAATTAAGGACTGTAACGTCAAAACCTGGTAGCAAGGGCTGTCGCGAGAGTGAATTGTTTCACGCATACAGCAAATCCCCCTACCGTCCAGATGAATGCACGGAAAAAAAATTACTGGCTGTAAAAACAAACCTTCCGTTCCAGGCTTTAAGAACGAAAGTTCCGGATGTTGGAGTCATCCCTTTGACTGCTCTGGGTTCGGTGGCTAGAGTAACGGATGCTACACCCAACATTTTCGGCCTATGAGTCTGGAACGGACGGTATGCTTTTGTAGCTCTTAAGTTTGGCTAAGAATTTTTTTTCAGCGCGGACGGAGAGAAGAAGAAGAAAAAGAAGGAGAGTAGGAGAAGGAGGAAGAGGAGAATAGGGAGGAGGAAGAAGAGGAATGGGGAGAAGTAGAAGAAGAGGAAGAGGGAGAAGAGGGAGAAGAGGGAGAAGAGGAAGAGGAGGAACTGAGGAAGAGGAGGAAATGAGGAAGAGGAGGAGGAAGAAGAGGAATGAGGAAAAGTAGAAGAAAAGGAAGAGGAAGAAGAAGAAGATAAAGAAGATTGGAAGAAGAAGATAGGAGGAAGAAGAATAAGTAAAGGAAGAAGAAGAAGAGGATGAGGAAGAGAAGGAAGAAGAGGAATGGGAGGAAGTAGAAGAAGAGGAAGAGGAGGAAGAAGAGGATGAAGAAGATTGGAAGAAGAAGATAGGAAGAAGAAGAATAAGTAGAAGAGGAAGAGGAGGAGGAGGAGGAGGAGGAGGAGGAAGAAGAGGAATGAGAGGAAGTAGAAGAATATGAAGAGGAAGAAGAAAAGGAAGAAGTTAAGGAAGAATAAAGAAGAAGTAAAAGTGGGAGGAGAAGAATAGGAAGAAGGAAAGGAAGTAGAGGAGAAAGGAGGGAGAAGCAAACAAGAGAATCTCAGTGAAATTCAGTAACTAAAAGAAGTAAGAGAAATGTTGGCACCGCCTATGTTAGCGCCTCAAGCGAGTGCGTATTTTTTGTAGTCCGGGTTTGCTGAGCGACTCAACATATGAAGTATCGCTCCCCTGAAAAAAAGCCTTCTGAGGTCCGTTTCCGCGTGGACGGTCTCAATAATGTTTCGTGCGTATCGCGGGATGGGCAACATCGGAGCCGGCACACGTCCACCCGGGCCGGAATAATTGAACGTCGCGATGAAGTGCGGAAGACGATGACACGCTCGAGCGGTGGAGGATGATCGCGGTCGATCGCCTCGGATCAAAGGAGGGTCATCTCCGAGCGTGTCATTGGACGGCCGTGCGCTGTGTCAATATGACCACGCTTAATGGACTCGCCCGGTAAATGAGTTCGCGCGAACAGCAACTCTGCACCCCGCGACGTCGGCCACCCCTGAGGATCCAAAACCGCCCATGTCCACTAAGATACTCCTTGCGGATACGCGGTTCTTAGATAGAATGACCGGCGCATTCCTTCGCGACACCTCACCTGAGACCCGGTCCCGCTACTTCGGCCTCGCAAGGATAGATACCGCAAAAACGCACCAAGAGCTCGAAATTTTATTACAAGACTCAATAATAAAGACCAAGTTTAACGTTTGTTTTTACAATCCAAGTATTTTTCCGCGACTTTGGATTTTTTGCCGAGGGTAAATTTACGACTAGGAGCTGAGTCCCCACCCTCCGTTTGAATACCTTACCTATGAGATGATGATGATTAGTGGTATAAAATTCATGAAAAAAAATGCATGTAATATCTGCGAGATTTCACAGTGAATTTTGATTTATTTTCATAAATGACGTTAATTTTTTTTTATCCTCCATAGGCATGAGAGCTGAATTCATACTAATGAGCCTTCCCGAGTCTGATCATATTACTTTAGTCAAAATTTTGAGTCTAATTTCAAGGAGACGTGTATCTAACGCCTCTCGAAATTAAAGGACTTATCAAATAAATACCGGGATCATTTGAATGATCATACGGCGTGTTACTCCTCAGCACAGCCGATTGATGGAAAATCCCAAAAATTTGGCACTACATCTTCATCGAGAGGAGGGAAGTTCCCAGGTGAATGGGATACTAAGGCGCTACAGGAAACGAGCTCACGGCAGATTAACTCACGAGATCTTTGACATATCGATAATGAATGGAGCGCACAAGGGTCATCGACTAATGCAACATCGATTATATCATTTTAACCTTCCGTTTCGGAGAACCCACCCTCTACAGCATAACCCATACCTTGAATTCGCATCGACGCACAGTGGAGCTGGTCTGTGAGACGTAATGTGGAAACTTTAAAACACAAACTGATTGCGGTGGACGCAAGTGTCGTAAGACAGTATAAGTGAGTTCTTCCAGCCAACGTGCTTTAAAAATTCAGCATAAAGCTGAAAAACTCAATACAGTTGCCTTCCTGAGTGATCATAACTAGTGTTGCACGAAACATTATATTCCTTTGAGGGGAAATAGTGCTTATATGAGCTTTTGTCTCTGTATTGAGATTTTCAGCCTTATGCTGAATTTTTAACGCACGTTGGCTAAAAAAACTCCAACATACAAACTTTAACAGCTCACATTTGCGTTGATATGACGGATAAAAGAATAAAACGGGTTCGTTGGTTTTCTCGTAAAATGTCCTTCAAATAACATCCTCTTGAAATTTATGATGTGGCGCGCTTTACATCAAAATTTATCGGTTTTTGTCCGTTTCATGTCCAAAATCTCCCAATTCGTCGCTCCAATGTGCGACGTTTCCCCTGAGCCTCCGATATCGTCGCACGCCAATTGATTATCGATAAACGGAGCCGGTGAATTTGGGTATGACTCAACGATGGGCGATTACCGTTGATTGATCGGGCGCCGCGCCGCGCTGTTTCAGTGTTTCATCGCCTGCTCATAGGTCGTTAGAACCTTATCGAATTAACCCGATCGAGAGTTAGGGTTACTGGGATAGGGATTTATCGATTAAACTCATTCGATGATGATACACCAAGCGACCTGCTGCGCACCGTTTATTACGGCTCCTAAGCGTATTTTTTGGAGCTCCAAGAATTACCGGCTCATCCCATCAGCGCGTGACCCACTCCTGTCATTGATCTCCTTTGCGACGCCACGCCTTAATTGCACATCAGAAAATAAACGTGTTTTGAAAACGTTTCGATGTCCTTTAATGACTCTCAGATTTTTCAAAAGTGTTCACATTCGCTTTAAAAAATACCGTAAAAAATGTAAAACACTTACACATGCGGACTCAGACTTGAGTCCACTATCCTTAGACGTTTTGAAGGTGTTAGTTTGCTTTTTTCCGTTTCAAACTAACATCTTTTTAAAATATTTTGAGATTATATGCCACCCCCAAAAAATGTTAGAGCTTCCGAACGGAAAATATTTATCAAATCCAGAAAAAATAAAGTTTCTTATAGATGAAGGAGTCAGAACATTCGAAGTCCATCAAAAAGAATTCGTTAAAATCAGCCCACAATACATGTGGTGCCACCAACTAAGGATTGTGTTCTTTCAACTCAGGAATCGAACATTGTGCCCTTAGATCAATTTCTGGGGATGCTATACTATTTTAACACCACTGACAAGTTTTTGCCTATCCAACGAAATCAAGGGTGAAATACACTCTTTGGAACAGATAAGGCTCCAGTTAGCGGAAGAATGACGTGGTTTGTTTTAATCTGAATCAATGTGCAATGCAAAACCCTCACAACCAGCTATGCAGAGGAGCCCAGGCGCCTAGGGGTGAGAGGGGCCTGCTGGGATTTATTATCTTTCTTTTCAATGTTTACTTTCATCTTATTTTATTTCATTTTTTTTTATTTTCTTTTTTATCAAAGTACCTCCTTTAAATATTTTACTTTCTTCGTCGATCATATTTAACGTACCGTCTTTTACATATCTGGTATCCAAAATCCATCAATTTTTCGTCTCTTTTTAAAGTTTAGTCCTTTCTATCCCCTTTGAGGTCCTTTTAAACCCTAAATAAATTCTGCACATAAATACTTGAAAATATTAGCTATTTGTAAAGGAGAAGTTTTCCTTGACAAGGGTCTTGAAAGGGGACTGGAGAGTAGAAGAGGCCAGGGGATGGAGGTAGCAGAGAGGATGAAGAGGCAGAAGGTAAGGGGTGTTAAAAGGGTCGGCTTGGAATTTGATCGGAATGGGATGAAATTTGCGCTGGGCACAAGGAAAAGTTTTAGGGGAGGACCAATGAATCTCCCTCACATCATCGGTTCTAAGCCCCTGCACCCTTCTTTCAGCCTTCTGGATGATGCCCTGAAAGTCGGAGTTTTAACCAATCGCCAGGGAGCTAGGTGACAGTTTCGACTAATTATAAAAATTTGCCTATGGCCTCAACGATGAAAACACAAAGTGGAGTCGGAAGCTCACTTGCACCTGTCTGCGAGACTTATCTCTCTGGAGCCGGAGGGCCGGTCCGAGTTGGAAGGTGAAAGTGGGGGTGGGTGTTCGCGACGCGGAGACAAAGACGCCCCGTCATTGAGTGGCGGAACAAAGGGCGTCTAGGAAGATCAGACGGGATGAGAGGCACGAGACAGAGATCGATGATCTCCAGTCTATGGCAGTGACAGTGGCCTACCCCGACCCCACACCCACACCCGCCCATTAGACTACATTAGACTACACACGAATGCGCCGCAGAAACCACCACCCCCCTCATCAGCGTAATTTTTCACCGATCGGTGAGCGACATTAGTCTTTATTGGAGCGGCTGTCACTTGTACCCATCGGTTGCGGGTCCTCGATGGCCACCCTCTTCTAAAGTACCTTTATTGGGAGAGTATGGACAACTCGAAAATTTGAAGGTAAGGTTTGATCAGGTCACGTAGTTCTTGGGGCCCAAAAAGGCTGCCAACCTATAAACTCAAACTATCCAGTGGTACTATTTTCATAGTTTTTACTAGAATCGACACCAACCGACAATTTTAACCTGAATCGACACCAAGAAATCCTATATCAGTCCATTCTAGTCCAAAATATTGACCCCTAAAAATGGGGGACAGAGCCCCCTACCCCCTCCTAAAATGCAAATCCACTTAATTGCGGTAGAGGCTAATGAAAAAAATGTTTTCACAGGTAGTCGGGCCAAAATGAATCCAAAATTAAGGGCCTCATCGCCAGCAAGGGCTTTTCTGAGGAGGTGAGAGGGGGACTCTGACCTCCTAAATTTAACCTATGGAAGCCCCTAATGTGCTTTATCAGAGAAACCTCTTAGGGTAACGGGACTCTCCAATTCGGATTCATGGAATCATCCGTTTCCGAGCCTCCACGTCTATTGAGCTTTGCGTTTTTTGAAGGTTCTCCATCTTTTGAGAGCTGTTTGTAAAACTACACGATTAATTTTTAGACAAATAGCGGTCTCTAATAATTCTTTATGGTTTTTATAAGTGAATTTCAATAAAAAAAAAAAAATACAATTCTAAGCTGTTCGACTGCCTTTTTTGTGAGGAATTCGAGATTCCATGTTTTCTCGCGTGCGGAATTTGCATCTCTATGAACGCTAATTAGGAGAAAGATTGAATTCTAAGAGGTCTGTTTTATTTTTATTCATTTTCATCATGGAAAAACAGGTTTATGATGGATGCTGAATATAAATCGAGCATCTGAGCCGGAAAACGTAACAATGTTTCGTAGCATGCCCGCTAGAGACAAAAGGAATTAAATGAGGGAAAGATGAGGTCCGTACTCAAAAAACGACGCTAGATGTCGCCCTGTGACGAGAATTAAACAAAAGGACGGAGGGGAGGGATACGTGGAGAATTAATGAGGAGAAAAGTGAAGGAAGAGATTTTTACGGGTAGGAAAGAGGCATTCCGGGAAAATGAGTGACAACCAGAGGCAGCATTGCCACATTCAGGGAGGAATTTTCGCCTGAAATTGACTTCTCACATCAAAGTATAACAATTGCAAATTTCAATGCACTTTCTTCTTCTCCCCTCGCGGAAAACCGCATCAGAACAGACTGTATCGAACTATCTTGCCTTCTCTCGCGATATATCGATGATGAAACCGCAGAAATGCGTTTGTCGGTTTGCGGCGTTGCAAACTTCTTGTTATCAGTGGCGAGGCATGAATTATCAACTATCGATATTTCTCCATTTGAAGCTATGGTAAAAAATCGATTATTTAGGCGTTCGTTGCGAACACCCTGTTTATCGATCCTTTTCCATAGGTTTAAATGACAGATCAATCGATGTATCGCAAAGCACGCCACGCCACTGCCTGTTATACCACACCGAAAAAAATGTGAAGTTGATTTGACATTCTGGGTGTAAAGAAAAGTGTGCGAGAACTTATAAAATGCCGAATTACCCGTTACTGCAGTTACTTTAGCAATGCTTGGATGTAAAAGTAACCGATGCGGCGAGTCGTTCAGCATTTTTTAAGTTCTCGCACACTTTTTTTTACATCCAAAATGTTAAATCAACCTGAATTTCTTTTCCGTGTATATTTTCTACATGAAAAACTACTGTTTTGCGGGTAACGTAGATTACTAGAAAAGAAGAAAGGGATGAAATAGGATAAAAGAGGGAACAAGAGAAAGAAAGGAAAAGACCAATAAAGTAAAAGTAGGAGAGGAGGGAAGAGAAGAAAGATAAGGGAGAGACGGTGAGATCGAGCAAAAAAGAGAGAAAAGAGAGAAGGAGGAGACAGAGGAAGAGGGGAAAAAGGAAGTTAAAAGGAGTCAACCGGAGAAAGAAGGAAAGGAGGAGATAAATTTAGGAAATGGGAGAAATTTGCCAACATTGAATGCGCATAAGGCGTTCCTCCTCACCGCGGCGCGGCGGTCCAGGACATCGTCGCACAGAGGATCGAGTCAATGGTAGATGGGTTGGACATGAAATTTTTGACTAAAACTGCAAATATTGATGTTTAATTCGTTACATTGTAAATTTTAAAGGGTCCTGATAGAAGAGAATTTTACGAGGAAACCAATGGCACTACTTTTAAATCCTCAAAGTTTTGTGTGGACGGAGTATAAGATTTTAAAGTTTCCAAATTTTCTCCGACCTCTCCAATTGAATCGAGCCACCGTGCGTCGGAACGCGAGAACTTTCACTGGGCGACGTGGCAGCTGTCGGAGGCGGAAAATTGGTGCAGGAGCGAGGGGTGGGTCTTGAGAAATGGCTTGCCGTCTTTACACTCCACAGGAATTTAATGAGTTCCTCCACTTGAAAACCCAATTTGCGCTGGGTATGAGTGTGTCGGCGTCTCGCCATTTGCTTTTTACGGCCGGTATTTTTTATCCCTCCCCCTCCTCCCTCCGCCCCTCCCTCTAACCCTCCTCGCGGGTGAAAGCGAATCAGGCACGCTAATCATCTTAAGAGCGGAAAACCTATCCATCGGATCCTCAACCCCACGCGATCGTCGAGAAAATGAATCTGCCGGAGCAACAGGCGGAAAAACAAACCTCAGAAAGTTCTCGTAGAAATGTGTGAATACCTATCGATTGGATCGTTCTTTTAAACTCATGTTTTGATTGGGCTGCTTACTCAAAATGAGGGGGGGGGATACCGCAAAAGCAGCCGAATGTTGCCTCCATTCCAATTAAATACGAATTTCTTGACAAACTTTGGCATTTTAGTCTTGAACTGTTCAAAGAATTTTATTCGCAGTTCAACTCTGAAAACTCAACGGAAAAATTATTCGAAGGGGCATTTCAGGGGGTCTAAGGTGGTGAAGTAAATCTTCCTATTACTGCAGATTTTGGTTTTTTTTTGCGATCATGGATAAATTTAGCGCTGTGAGGTTTGGAGGACTGTCATCTTCCATGAGTTAAGGTTTTCAAATATCATCAAAATTCAGAAAAAAATGATGATTTTTTTCAAAAAGCTTAGGGGTGGCTTCGACCAGAGGCTGTGGTAGTAGGTCTGGACCTGTGCAAAGAATGTGGAAAAAGGGGTCCCCAAACGAGTTTCGGATTGAGCATCCCAAGGAAGAAGATGGGGGGCCGTCCCTTAAAGGGATGGCGGTAGGGCGTCTATTAAGATATTTTACATCGTCAGTTGCCTGAAAACCCTTGGAAAGATAGGCACATATCGTCGCTCCTCTGACATAAGGGCAAATATTAAGTTCCTTGTGGTTCCTGGGCTCCGTAAAACTTTAAGCTTTCTGGGGCTCATGCGGAAATAGAGATACGTCCTTGCGTCGGAAGAGCGACGATATGTGGCGTTCAGGTGTCGCGAAGCGCCAGAGTGCGCTGTAAGAGCAACTGTATTTCAATGTATGCTTCGCCTAGAGGCTCATCCGGAAAAAAAAAAAAAACTCAATAGATGGAAAAGCCCTGTTTTGAGCAATAGAAACACTCCTTCACTGCTGTGCTAAGGAAGAGCGCCGTATGAACATTCGAGAGTTTCCAAATTTCCCTTGATAGAACATGTATTTTTGTCAACATTCATGCATATATTTTGGACCGCGTTTCACAGAAAGGATTCAAGCCACATCAGCTATTGCAAAATTTAACTGAACAATTTAATTTTTTATAAGGGAACGTTTGTGCAGATTCCTTTGTAAATTTTAAGGAATTGGCTTCGTACTATGGAGAAATTTCACTGAAATTTGCAAGAAAATCCGTGTAATCGGTTCCATGTTAAAAATTAAATTGTCGAAGTAAATTTGGTAATAGCTGATGTGGCTTGGTTCCTTTCTGTTTAACGCGGTCCATTTTTCCTTAAAATTTTCAGATGTTTTAGATTAAATTGCGTAAAAAATTGTCTGAAAGTTTTGGAAAATAAAATTGACTATTTCTCCAGGAAATTCGGTTTTAATCGGAGGAAACTTGGCAACGTTTGAAGGCTCATACGACGTTCTTCCTTTAGCACGGCAGTACAGTCGGACAGACCAAGCTTAGGATATCCTATACATGTTTTTTGTCTTCGGCAAGAAATTCATCTGCACATGGGTTTGGCGAACCCAATAAGAAGCCAGAGAAAATACGAGCAAGATATTCATGGAAGCATGCGTTCGGTTTTGTTGCAGAGGCTGTCGGAAGAGTGATATATTTATTGGTTTTCTTGGTGCCGGGTACTTTGCCAATTCCTGCCTGTAGAATCTCCGAATTTCCCTGCAGAAACGGACGCTGCATTCGATTGGATCAATACTGCAATGGGATCGCCGACTGCCCGGATAAATCGGACGAGCCGCGCTACTGCACAGGTTTGTATGCATTCCTCCTGCCATTTAGACGAAAAAAAAGAGGAAAAGAAAAAAGAAAAAGAAAAAAGAAAAATGCAATGAAGGGTTTCAGAGGTGTCTCGAGCGGCACACGAATGAATCTCTTGGAGTCTGGTTACGCCTCCTTTATCCCTTTTATTTCCTCCAACTCACCGAATTCAATAAATCTTTTATCCTCCGTAGAGCTAAAAAATGCACAAGGAGGTACCTCAAGCCAGGTTTTTATTTTTTATTTTGAAAAATAGAAATGTATAAATGTTTTAAAACTCAACCTAACTGCATTTCAAATTGCTTAAGTTTTATTTGTTGACGCAAAACTGCACGAAAAATGTCTTGAAACTTTTTGTGAAGTCCCTGATTGCAAACTGGCTCAATTTCCCAACAGCCGCGAGTTTGTTTGCTAAGTTCACTGTTGTTCAACGAATAGCTCACAGTCATAGGGAAGTGTATTTTCACGTAAGTAGGGTCAAAAGAACTATGAAAAAATGAATAAACCCAAATGGAACTTTATGATAGACTCAAATTCTATGCACATAGTTCATTAATTTCCACGCAGTTTTTTTCCCAGCCTGAAGCCGTCCATTTATGTCCGAAAATGATAATTTCAATCTCCAAATTATTTGTGAAAAATATTGCTTCTTATTTCCTTAAAAGTAAAAAAAAAAATTTGTAAAATCGGACGTATAATCATTTCCCAGAACTTAAACCATTTTACAGCGGGTTCCATCTGGGTTTCGTAAGTAAATTCACGGAGAAAAGCCAACTAGAGGTGAATTTTTCAGTGATTTCCGTTTTCAACTAGGCGGAAATGCGGGTCCGATCGTGGAAAAGTGCCTTCAGTTACCCGACTATGCAATACGCTCAACAGAAAAACAAGAATTGTCGTATTATTATTTAGAAGAATCCGTCCCTTGAATCATACCTCAACAGTACTAAAATTCTGCCGCGCTACGAAAGAACACCGTATGATCATTCGAGAGTTGCCAGAGGTCCCTCAATTAAATGTTTATTTTTGAGGAGAGATATGGAGATTTTTCCATGAAATTTTCAGGGACCATAATTATCTGATAAGGTAGAGGGAAAATGTTCATAGGTTTACCAGAAAATTCGTGTTTTATCAAAGGAAATTTGGCAACGCCTGAAGGCTCATACGGCATTTTCCCTCAGCTCGGCAGAATTCTCGTGCAGTACCTCTTGGCTGGTACAGTTGAATTGCCTCTCTTCTGAAAATTCGAGAGGCCCAAAGCAAATCACTCTCGATTTTAATTCTTGAAATCGGATTAAATATAATGTTTATGAACAAATTATTTGAATACAATGAAGAGAATACACCCAGCCTCATTCAGATCAACCATTGAACTCCATACTCCCAAAAATCGCATTAGCTTCTCTCCGCTTGATGCGATCCATTTCTATTGGAATTATTTACGGCTCATAGACGAGATCATTTATTACTAACGCTGAAAATCCTTTACGAGTGTAATGCATTGTTTAAAACAAACGTGACTGAGAACAAAACGACAACTATACTGCTGTTCTGAGGAAACTTACCGCATGAGCCCTCTGACGTTGGCAAATTTCCTTTGATAAAATATGAATTTGCAGAAAAACCTGTTAACATTTTCCTTTGAATTCTTTAGAGAATTTTATTCACTACCAGATCTAAATTATCTGAACATTTCAAAAGAAAATATTTTTAACTCTCCTCAATAATAAACATTTTATCTGAGAAAATTTGGCAACTCTCAAATGTTCATACGACGTTTTTCCTGAGCCTGACAGCGTGGTAGTAGCTTCTTGACAATGGAAGGAGGCTTCATTTAAATGCGGCCCAGTCATGAGCCAAGGGAGAAAGGAGCTAGTTTCAACAGGGTTACGCCATACGCCTTCAAACTTCTCTCCTACACTCAGAGACTCACGAAAACGGAAAGCTGAACTCAAAGAGCGGAACACATCCCTACGAGGTTTACGGCCGTGAGAGAAGCAAATGTTCATTTGACCCAGTTTTGGGGCGAGTGGAGACCCACTGTCACACGGGATCATGTTTTATTCTTTCGTTATTACTCGCGGGGACAATGCTCCGAGCGATTTTTGCGGCTGGAAAATCGCAATTATCTTGTGAATTAGAGCAGCGACTCACTCGACGTACCTCCGGGTGGTTTCACTTCGAATAGAAATTATTATACACGCCTTTGGAATTAATCATCCTCTAGCCTTAGCCCTCCAGAGGTTTTCCAAAGGAAACGCCTCTATGTTAACGATCTTGGAATAATGCCTGTGATGCAGTGATGATTTTTGCAAGTTAGCAACACCGAAAGAGAAAGTTAGAGTGCAACCGCACCATTCGGTTCACCTAACCATACTTCGTACTGCGATGTTTTTCTTATTCTTCCCTTTTTCCTCTCCTTTTGATTCTTGTCCTCCATCTCTTTTGCTCTACTTTTTCCCCCTCTTGTTCTTATTTTTCATTTTACTTCCTTCATCCTACCTCTCTCTTCTACCACTATTTCCTCTTGTCTTCTTTTGGCGACCGAAAGACACGCACTTAAAAAAATTGAATGAGTTGACGCGATTCTAACAAAACGTACCTATCGTGTCTACAACAAACTGCCATACTATTATATGGGAATGATACAAAAATTCGACCACGTAGCAGATTGTGCTGCCTACACTAAAAACTGCCAGAAGTATACTTTTTTATGTTGAGCCTGGCTTGGGCAGCTCGTACCTCGTCGTCATCCATACAAAAGAACGTAACTACATTTTACCGTTGCCAAATTTCACCCAAACATCGTATTCTTACCATTAAACTGTTGGGTATTATTGACTGAAAATTCACTGATTTTTTTTTTTATCATTACGCACATTCTACGCTTTTCAAAACTTTGCCTGGGTCAACTTTGCAATTTAAGAATGAGTTACGTTCCCTCATCCGGAAATTGCGCGTTGACTCCAGTTCACGTCCTAACCCATGAAAACTTTAAATCAAGAATAAAGCCATTTGACAACAAAGTGAGGGAAACAGGGAAGGGGGGTATATTGAGACAGCTTTGAAAGTTTTGAGCGGTCAGCCGATGGACGAAATGTTATTGGAGGCCGTCACAGGGCCGGCCATGTTGCCATGCAGTACTGAAAACCCTCACTTTCAAATGGGGACCGCGTGTATTTTTCGGTGATCCGTCAACGGAGGGGGTTCGGTTTACCGCGCACCGCTTAACCTCGTCCATTAAACATAGGCTCCATGCTCGCTGTCCCTGTCTCTGGGCCCGGCGAGGATTCCTGCGGGACCACGCACAGTGGATCGAGTCGATCAGAGAGGTCAGGCATACATTTCCCCCCCTAAAACTGCAAATTTTGATGTTTAGTTCGTCACATTTCATATTATAATGGGTGTCTATAGAAGAAAATTTCACGAGAAAACCCATGGAACCACTGTTCGAACCTCAAAATTGTATATAAACGGAGCCATAAGCTTTTAAAGTTTTCAAATTTTGTCCGACCTCTCCTATTGACTCGATCCACTGCGCGATGCAACCCAACGGCGACGCCAACGCCCGACGCCGGCGCGACGTGGACGTCCACTCTAATTTCGTCCGCTTAAATTTTCACGCCCCAACTTCAGACGACACCCACGCTTTGCTCCGATCTGAGCTGTGCTATCAAAATTGGGAGAGTAGGGACAAATCTGGAAACCCAAAATTCTCTAAGGCCCCCACCGATGCCTTTGCAAACAAAGTTAGGGTCCAAAGGTATATCTAACCTATGATTTTTTTTATTTTTTTACTTATTATTCATTTATTTATTTATTTTTGCAGTTTATTTGGCTTCTTTTCCAGTTTAGGAATCTACAGCCTACAGCCATCTACAGACAAGAGTTCAACGTAGAGATTATTATTTTTTTTATTGTCAGTAGATATCAGGGGGATTTTGGCACATCCATGCTCCGGCTTTCAAATTTGCAGGGATTAAAGCCGAGTAGAATCTGTTTCTGCAGCTCCACTCGTCAGTTCCTCGAAAATTTGTCGCCACCACCGGGATTCGAACCCGGGATCTATTGATTTGGAGTCAGACGCGCTGACCGCTAGGCCAACCTGACTGGCTTAACCTATGATTTCAAATTACCTCTCGCTATTGCCTGTAAATTCACGTTGTAAGTAGATTTCTTTTTGAGCGGCACAAGTGTATAGGTACACGACGCCTTGTTAAGGCAAAGTTTTGATTGAGTACCAACTGGAAGAAGGCAACGGGGGCGCTCAATGGAGAGGTGACGCTGACGTCACGGTGTCGACAAGGAGATTCAGCAATGTCAGTTGCTTGATAACCTGTAGAATAATAGACACACACGGGCATAATTCATCGTTAAGTATCTTAAAACTCGCGACTCTTTATAGCCTGCGGTGCTATTTTCATTTTCAACTGGCAACTGTAAAATATGTATAGTTATGTTCTTTTGCATGGGTGACGACGAAGTAAGATTTGCATGCCCTGTGGACGTTTTTAACAGTTTTTGAGTGAAGCTCGTTAAAATTGTTTTATTTTTTATCCCCTCCTCAGTTTTGGAAATTGAGTGGGAATCAAATATTCATTCATAAAAAGATTAAAATAGCTACTTTACCATACCTAAGTCAACTTTTCTTCGCCTCAGACGAGTCAGACGATGCAACTTTATTAAAAAAAGAAAAAAGAAAGGGATTCGCTATCGACGCCCAAATTGGGGAACCACGTATCTCTGATTGCGACGGTGCAGACTTCCTATTATATTTGTTTTTCTATGGAAAACTAGTCGACGTATTGCCTTGAAAACTGCCTTAGTTTATCTCCTCCGCCAGCAGAATGTATTGTTATGAAGCTGGCTTGCTTCCTCTAAAAATGAAATATATAAATAAAAGAGGGGCGGAAATTTTGAATTATCGCAATGAAATTAGGTGGTCTCGCAATTTGGCCGCCGATGCTCACTCTCCACTCTTACAATTTGAATATAAATCTGATGATTCGCTTGCAAAGAGAATCTCAATGGGAAAATATCTGTAGAGCGTAACAGGTCAGTTCGTCACCAAGTACCTGAAAACCGGGGACATATTCGCGGAATTGCATCTCGCGACTCGCGGCACGGCACCGGAATGTGGGCAGCGAGGCAAAGTGGCCGCATCGCGTCACTTTGAAGTTGGAACTGTGGACATAAGTTATTTAGAGGAGCGCCTGCCAATTGAAAACATCTGCAACCCGGCTCACAGTGTGCTGCATCCTCATCAATAATGGCCGCTTGGAATCCCCTCGCTGTGAGCGGCTCCGAGGCCGTGGCTTGAGTCAAAAACCTCGGATCTCTGTGTACGTTAGGCAGAAACCACTTAACTCTAACGGGAAACGTTGCGTGCATCCGTGATTCTTACACTCAGAATGGTGACGTAACTTTGCGTATTCCTGAGAGCGAGCAATGCACCTTCCACGCCGCACACTGGATTGAGTCAATTGGAGTTGTCGGACATGATAGTTTTGACTAAAACTACAAATTTTGATGTATATTTCGTCACATTGTAGACTTCAAGGGGTGCATCTAGAAGAAAATTTCACAAGAAAACCGAAGAAATGACTTTCAAAACTTCAAAGTTTTGTATGAGCGGAGTTATAAGCGTTTAAAGATTCCAAATTTTGTCCGACCTCTCCTTGGGACTCGATCCACTGTTTGACTCCATTTTTTTCTTTCCATTTTTCCAGAATTCCTATCCATTCTTTTATCATTCTCGTCCTTGTTTTGCTCCCATCTTCCTCTTGTGGGTGATATCTCCTCCATTAACATTTGTAGGTATCATCACGACTGTGGCGTGTTTTTATACGTGTGGATTTTTCTCTCCTTTTTTTCAGTTTGCAATCGGACATATTACGGTGACATTCCCACGACGTATTCACTGTCACTGCCTAGACCTAAAGATGAGAAACTGCCATTTTTGTGCCATTTGACATTCACTGCCAACGGAAGAGAAAATGGAGAGCTCGTTCAGGTAATTAAATTACCATGTTTCCTTTTATTACAAATAATTAAATCGAGCGTGAGGATGAGCCCCAAATAATAACAGTTATTTAAATGCCACCAAGTACCATGGCATATCCGTCACATCAGCAGTATTGCCGTGTCAAGGCTAAACGCCAAATAAACCTTTAGACGTTATGCTAAATTTTCTTCGACAAGTCGTGAATTTTTAGGAACGTAAATATTCATCCTCCAATTTTTGCAGAGAGTTTTATTTTTAAAGATTTGGGCTTAAGAGCCTTGTCCTGTTATCATCTCTTGATTTTCTATATCTCAACGAAACTAATGTTTTTAGTGAAAGTATCTTGAAATCGAGACAATTTAAGATAAAGTTTGCACAGATGTCACGGATAGTCTTCTCGTTTTAACGGGAAAAGGTTGTCCCTTATCGCTACACGCACCAAGTCGGAGTCCAGACATATCTCATATCGCCTTCAATTTTTACGATGCTTCAAGCACACCTACAAAACACGATTAGTGGTATCAAAGAGCCGTGCAAGTTCGAAATCTTTTTCCTAATGTCATCCATGAATGTTTCATATTTCATTATGAAACTGCTTCTTACAATTAGTCATTTTTCAGGAAAGCAAAATGCGACAATAAAGCTGCAACGTGGCAAAGTGAGCTACGTGTTTTTATGATAATTTTGCAGTAGTTATATGCTCGGATGTCAGGAATGGATGGCCCGTTTTGATTGAATTATAATCAAGTCGTCATTGAGCGCAACACAAAGTCAGAGTCAAGACAAATCATCTCATTTTGCCTTCAATTTTGATGACACTTCATGCACAACAACAAAGCACGAATAGTGGCATTAAAAAACCGTGTAATTTTAAGAGTCTAAAATTGTCAAGGAATAAGATTTATAACTTTCTTTATAAAAAAATATATTCTGGTAGGAAATTTGGCAACATTCGAATACTCGCACTCCGCTTTTCTAAAACATGGCAGAGTGCTAGCTGTTGGAGGTTGCAATGGTTAATGGCTATGGTTAATGGTATAGATGGTTGATGGTGAAGGAACAATACCACCTTCCTGCAAACTGACAATTTTGCGGAATAAGGAAGAAACTTTGCCATTTCTGTAATTTTGTGGTTGGATTTGCAATGTTTTTATACATTACAGCATATCATAGCGCTTCATGTGAAATAGGAAAAAAACTAAAAGCATCAGGTAACATATTTAATACTGAAGAATGTGGCAAAGTCGCTACTTCATTTTCGCAAAATTTTCGGTTAGGCGGTATCGTTATTGACATATACTGAAATTTTAAAAGCACTGCTCTCAAGTTGGATCTAGAGTAAACATTCAGAATTTTGAAACGTTGCGCTCGAATGTCCCCGAGGCGGAGGTTCGGAATTTGAATAAAATGCGCCAATCAAGAGGCTCGTATATAAAAACTAGACTTGAAGCTTGGAATAAAATTCTCCTAAAAACGCAATGCAGCGACAATAGCTCATCAAGCGCGTAATCGATTATGTGGGCAAAGCACCGATGCCCACCGATGAATCAACGATGAGGATCATCGCTATTCGGTTGTCAGCCTTGCATCACGTAGAGGGTCACGTTCCATCAACGTTGCCGTTCATCTAGAAGATTTTCCGGTTATTTTTTAATCAATTTCAGTATTTAAAAGCGAACGGAAATCTAAGTTTTGAGACAATCGCGTTTGAAAGTTCAAAATGCCGTACTTCTAAAGCTTTTGCTATTTTTTTTAAAATCATTTAAAATATTTAAAACTGGAAAACAAAGTAACTAAAATTATTAGTCTTGAAGATTTACTGATTTTTTTTTTTTAAATCAAGAATAAAATTTCTCGAATCCAGCGAGTTCTCTGATTGATTTATGCGACATTTTTCCCAATGTAAGCATTTTCCCCTCTTGATTCAGGGGAATATTTTTCCTGCGGAAGAAACCAGGAATATATCGGCTTAAATCATGTCCATTTTTTCAATGCAGGTATCTAGTACGTAATTTTAAATGAGAATGAGAAAAATGTAACCATAAGTTGAACTCTTCTGTAGTGGAAATTTATTTTTCCGAGGAATACATCGTATACATCGCATATATATTTCACCTTTTAACGAGATTGTAAAGGAACACATGCGGATTAAAATCTAAAGTAGATCCAAAAAACAATTCCAGTCATTAAAATGTTTAGTTTTCTCACAAAAAAATAATAAATTTATGATATTTTAGCAACATGTACTATATAATTAATTAGTCTGATTCTACTTAGTTTCATCAGTTCATGAGTTGCGCACGGAACTCGAGCATCAATAGTTCTGTAACATGCGCAAGTGATTAATTCAGAATGTTATACATGCTACGCCAACAGTGAAATTCGTAACACACCGACATCTAGGTTAGGATGCAAATAGTTGGTTTCTACGGTTTTTTATGGGACTTGCTGAATAAGGACTTATATCAAATTTATAATCAACTGTTTGAAAAACTGCGTGTGGAACTTAGTCATTCATTGAGAGAGTTTGATATGAAAATTTCAACGCTATATCATTTATTGTAAAAATTCCCGTAAAAGCCCATGTTATTAGGGGTTATATGACGAGTATAGCAATTGAACTGTTCCACTCCCCGCCCGCCTATCGAACGATCACTCCATGTAAGTTAAGTTTTTTCGTAGGCCAATTTATAGTTTTTGTATCGTTGAGCTGATCACAAATAGATTCCTCCACTGAAAAAAAAACACATTGGATCTAGAGTCCGGACTCTTCAAAACATCGACAAGAAAAAATACTCTTGATTCAATCAGATTTAAGCTTAAATCAAGAACCAAGCCTCTTAATTTGAGCGGATTTCCTTTTGATCTAAGGAAAAATCTGATTGAATCAAGAGTATTTTTTCTTGTCAATGTTTTCAAGAGTCTGGACTCTAGATCCAATGTGTTTTTTTTCCAGTGTTGCGTCTTTACTCTCAGTATAAAGGGACCTCACTCACTACGTAGCGACCGGCTCTGGAAACTTCGCTACCAACAACATTAGACGCAAAAAATTGGCGCTAAATGAGGATTTTCGGAAGGAAGTGCGGAGCGGAGATAGAAAATGGACGTCCAGTCAATCGAGGCACAGCACAATTTCAGGATCCCTCTAGTCTATCCTGTCCCCGCCGCTTCATTTCCACCCGCGTCATTTTCGATTTAACTTTTCGCGCTCCGACGAGTAGGGTGCCAATAACTTCTTTAAATCTAATTAAACTTATTTTTCGATGCAGCGTCTTGGCCGGAATTTCTGGCCTCTTCGTCTTCCTCTAAACCCCCCCCCCCCCCCCCCCCGCCAACACCCAGCGCTACTCGATGCGCTTATCCTGTGTTACTTTTGCGTCACGGCTCACGGCTGCTATCTTTTGCCGTGGTAAGAAAGGACGTCGCAAAGTGGATCACGGTCGAGTCAATCAGAGAGGTAGGACACACAATATTTGGCTAAAACTGCACATTTTGATGTTTATAACGTCACATTTTGAATGGAGATGTTGCATGCGTCAGGAATTTGCGATTTGACTATAAATTCTTATGTAAAAGTTCGCGAGAAACACGATGGTGCCACTGGTTTTCTCTGTAATCTACTCCCAAGCTCAAAAAAAGCTCTCAAGTTGAGGCCAAAATGGAGGGGATATCCCACGCTATCCTGAGAGTCCATCTCTACATCAAAACAAACTCTCCATGCAAAGATAGGGAGCAAATACATTAGCAGTGATGCCGTGTTTTCAGTTTTGGAGTCCCCAAATAAAGAGGCAGCCCTGCCAATGTATTTGCTCCCTATCTTTGCACGAAGGGTTCGTCTTGATGTAGATATGTGGACTCTCAGGATAGCGTGGAATATCCCCTCCATTTTGGCCTCAACTTGAGAGCTTTTTTGATCTTGGGAGTTGATTTCAGAGAAAACCAGTGGCACCATCGTGTTTCTCGCGAAATTTTACCGAAGAAGCAACAGTCAAATCGCAAATTCCTCACATATGCAACATCTCCATTTGGAGGGGTGGTTCTAGAAGGAAATGTCGCGCGAAAACCAATAAAATCACTTTTAAAATCTCAAAGTTCCGATTTAACGGAGTTTTAAACTTTGAAAATTCCCAAATTTTGCCCCACTTTGACTCGATCCACTGTGCGCCGTATATGAATATTTGGATATTGTCAAATATTTTCTTAAAAAATATTAGCAATGGAGGAAACTTAGGAACATTTTTTCTTGAATTTCAGACATTAAAGATTAAATTGCGAGCAGCATTCTCTACGACTTTGGAGGAAAATGCTTGCAAATTCCTGACATGTCAAAGGTAGTTTGACAACGCTGAGTGTTCATACGACGTTTTTTCCTAAGCATGTAGTCTTGGCTCCTCCTTAGACTCCTGGCAGTTAAGTTGATACATCTCTCGGCAAAACTATCGATTCTCTAAAACCGCTGAAAAATATAGCCATACAAAGATTGGTTGTTGACTTTCTTGCAGACGCACGTAAAATTAAGAGTTAGGGTAAAGATGTTCAGGCGATCATCCTCTAGAAATTATCTATTTCACTGGAATACGCATTCAATCCTTAATTATGATTTGTTTTTCTATGGGCGGGTGAAGACAGTTTTCTAAATTTTTCGTTTTTATTCTAATTGGTTTGTTACTGGCAACCCGGAATCACAAAACTTGTGCTGATCTTTTGGCTAAATGCCATTTCGTCTGCTCGGTGGATGGAACATTTCTGCCCGGTAATATTTCATGATTTGAATGAATTAGCATAGGAGAAATCCTCAGCGCTCTCAGTTTACTAACGATCTCACATTCATTTCTACGCTCGCTTTTCAGGAAATCTTAGGCTACTGCGATCAAGTGGTAATAGATTCTGTTAAAAATTAGTGCTCTAAAACTATACTTAAAAATGAGTTATAAGATAGGACTCATCTTCACAAGTCCCTGCACCCTTATGTCAAAACCAGCAGCGGGGCGTGCTTTGCGATACATCGA